TGCCAAAGCTGACATGCTTGGCAGGGCAAAATAGTACATTTTTATAGAGGTACAGAACTGTCAAATTCAAACTTTCCACCCCTGCCCCCCAGCTTCGTGCTGATTGGTTGGAGTCATCAGCTGGAGGGGAGGCACGGCCGGCTTAGGTGCGCCTCAGCCAATAGGGAAGCCAGCACCGCTTCGGCTTCTCAGCCAATGAGGAGCGAGGAGGCGGTACAAGCAGGAAACAAAGAACCGAGAGGAAAATGAGTGTATTAATGTAACTTAATGTTTGTCCGATTGTCGGCGATAATCCAAAGATTCCTCAAGCTTACTTACTTACTTAGGCGATCCCTCGTTGGACGAGTAAGATGGTCTTCCATTATGCGTTTCCTTGTGGTTCGTAGGTGGCTGTGGAGCCCTATTCTTGACCCGCATCTTCTCCCACAGTGAAGGCATTGGTTTCCAGGTGGAAGGCGTTCCCGGTCGGGGTTGGCTTGACGTGCCTCCCTCCTGGCATGTTTCTCTCTTTCACCCTCCACTCGTGCCTCCTCAAATTCTGCAGCACTGCTGGTCACAGCTGACCTCCAGCTAGAGCGCTCAAGGGCCAGGCTTCCCAGTTCTCAGTGTCTATGCCAGAGTTTTTAAGGTTGGCTTTGAGCCCATCTTTAAATCTCTTTTCCTGTCCACCAACATTCCGTTTTCCGTTCTTAAGTTCAGAGTAGAGCAACTGCTTTGGGAGACGGTGGTCAGGCATCCGGACAACGTGGCCGGTCCAGCGGAGTTGATGGCAGAGGACCATTGCTTCAATGCTGGTGGTCTTTGCTTCTTCCAGCATGCTGACGTTTGTCCCCTTGTCTTCCCAAGATATTTGTAGGATTTTCTGGAGGCAGCACTGATGGAATCGTTCCAGGAGTTGCATGTGACGTCTGTAGACAGTCCACGTTTCACAGGCGTATAGCAGGGTTGGGAGGACAATAGCTTTATAAACAAGCACCTTGGTCCCTACGGATGTCTCGGTCCTCAAACACTCTCTGCTTCATTCGGGAAAATGCTGCACTCGCAGAGCTCAAGCTAGCCTTGTATTGTTCTATGGGGGTGAAATATACAAAAGTGGCTAGCATGGATGCCAAGACCTGGTAATCTCTAGTCCTGGGTATGGGATCAATTGATGTTATCTGGTCTTTGGTTTTGGCCAAGGGTGTGGAGACAATGGGTGAGACAGTTGGAGCACCCTGATCCTCCTGAAGGCAGGATGTCCCCTTTGTTGAAGGGTGATTGAATCTCCATTGGGTACTTCCTTTAGATGGTCATGCACTGAGGCCCGAAGATGTACCATTATTTCTGTCCATGCAATAAGTCTTTGTTGAGTACTTTTAATTAATAGGAAAATCCATCTCAGGAAATGGGAAAGATTTTGGTATGCTGGGGTCATGAAAAGGTGGCATTTCATATTTTTATACATAGACACATATAGGGGGTTCATAAGGCATGCATTCATAAAGAGGGAAAATAATTCATATATGCCCATCCCACCCATCCAGAGTTCATTAAAAGTCTAAAATCATAGTGGAAATCCATGAGGTTTTGGGGAAGAAAAAGTTTCTAAAATGTTTCCAAAAGTTCAATAAAAGTTGCAGAATCCATGGGGGCAAACTGAGGAAGGCTCCCCAGAGTCCTCGGGGTCCTTTGGAAGTGATTGCAAA